AAAATTTGAAACTTCACTAGTTCAATTTCAAGGCTCAAATTTCAACTATCAATTTTCAAATCAACACAATCATTCCCTCTTGATATGGATGCCATAAGAGCATAGACAATTGAAATTTGAAAGGTGTTTGTTCAGTTTTTAATACTCTATCTCTTGGGGTATATGCCATAAAAGATTTGGATGATTTTATGAAACGCTAGCAGGCATAACTTTCATAGGATTCCTTTTTTTTCTCATAAAAGTATGATAGTGGTGAAAGTTGGTATTCGCTAACTTTTTGAAGGAAGGATATGAGAAGCTAAAATTTTGAAGTTACTAGTTTCGAACATTGATGGTTTGAATGCGCGAAAAAAAAATCTAAATTTTTTTTCTTATTGAGTAGTCTCGTATTCTTGATGGTCTCATGGACACTTTCTTAAAGATTTTAGTATAACATTAAGATACTTTTAACATGATAATAATACTTTTACAAGTAATATTGTAATCTTAAAGATATTTACAATGCTCAAATATTGAGATCAAACTATCAAACTCAAAGACATGATAGGCTGTCTCAAAAAAATCTTCGTTATTATTACCTTTCAGTAGTTTAATCTTTGTATAACAAAAATGTAAAGTTTTGTTTTCTATTTTTCTTATCATCAACTTTGATTTTTCATTAAATGTTCAAATCATCTATACATGACTAATACGAAATTCTAAAACTGCTTCGACAATCCAATAGCAACATTGCTGTGCTGTCTTATCTTGACCTTTCTATCATTAAAAAAAACAACGAAATCAATGCATACATATTACATTTTATCGAACAAATAAAAAAATACAATTAATTTTATTGCAGTGTTTTTATCTCACAATAATGTGTAAAAAAGTAGATGTGTAAAACATCTGTTTATCAACATTAGTAAACAGAACACAATAACTATCAAAAATAACACAGTAACCATAAAACATCGTAAACATTCTGAAATCTTATAGTTGTAACTGAGTAGTTATTGAAGTCCACAAACTGGTATAATGGATAATTGACTAACCATACCTAGTAGTATAACATATATTCCTTCATGTGAGTTTATCTACGAGTAAGTGAAAATGTCGATTTGATTCAATACACAACCTAGAGGAACTCTAAATTTAATAAAAACAATAAATAAATGCGAAAAATTGACGAATTAGAAAAATATTTTTCAAACTGATATAAGAGATTATCAAGGACGATGGGAACGAATACAGATTGTAATTTTACTTTTGATAATATCTCGAACTTTTTTTCGTTTATTATTCGATCAATGAAGACGTCAATTTAACAGAATAAAATAAAGTATGTGTGCGTGTATATATACCAACCAAACAATGACAACAAAAACAAAAACAACAACAACAACAACAAAAGAAATATGTTCTTTTTTTTCGGAAGAGATAAGAAATATTGATTAATATGTGCTAAAAAAGAAAATAATGATAAGAGTGAAAATCTTATGTTTGAGATAAAGTACAGTAGAATAAAAGAAAAAATAGTTTGAAAATGCAATATGTAATGTTATCCATAACTCTATGATTTTGATTGATGTTGATAAATAATAAATAATGAATTATAGTTTTTTGTATTCAATTAGAGAAAGAAAAGCTCAGATCGAATAAATATGAAAAGATGTTCAATTTTAGGTTTTGTGGTTTTTTTTTTCTACATTCTCACTGCACAAACAACAGCATTAACAAGGAAGAAAAAAAAAGCTATAGATAAACGCGAAATAGAATCTAAGTGCAGCACACTGTTCCATTGAAAAAAAAAAGAAAACGGAAAAAAGGCAAGACATCGTCAATGTATAATATTTATAGATATCTATTGCATGAGTTGAAAAAAAAAAAGAAAAAGAAACACCAGCAAAATGGAAAAAGATAATACGTATTATTTCGTTTCTAATTCTTCTTTTGAAAGTACTTCAAAATCTTCATCAGATGATTTTTGTGGTTTATTTCCATCGTCAACTTCATCTAATGAACTTGATCGACTTGTTTTTTCTTTATCATCATCATCTTGTTCACTTTCAGTATGACCAACAATATTAGATTCAATTTTATTTTTATTTTCTTCATTAACATCATCTTTTTTATTTATTATTTCTTGTTCATCATTTTCTTTTTTTTCTTCATTAGTTTTATTTTGTTTTTTCTTTGTTGTTACATCAAGTATATATAATGGAATAAATGATTCAATAAATCCAACATCTTCAGTTAAATTTGGTAATAACCAAAATTTAATTTTACCCATTGTAAGAAGCCAAACACCGGCAAATATAATATATTTAAATACAGCCAATGATAATAATACACCAAGTAAACTAGCAAGTACCATTGATAAATAATAAACTCCAGTACGTACTTCAGGTGGCCATAATGGAAAAAGACAAACAGCAATACAACCAATAACAAGTAGAGCGCCAATTATATATTGTTTAATTGTTGTTGGTGAATAAATCCAAACATAAAATTCATTTGTTGAATCAATAAATGTCGGATCACCATGTAATTCAAATTTAAATTTTTTCTTTTTTGTTTTATCTTTTTCTTTTGAATCATCATCTTTTATCGTTGATTCAACTGTTGCAGTTGATTTTGGTTTACGTTGTCGTACAGCACGTGGTGTATTCGATTGTGAAGTATCACCGGCAACATTTGATGCTGTTTGTTCAGATGAAGATTTATCTTCTTTATAAACTTTAACAACTCGACGAAACATTTCATTATCCAAAAATTTACGAAGCATCTAGTTTTAGAGAGGAAAAAAAAAACAAATGAAATTATCAAATTTTAAAAGAAACGCCTGTTATTTATTATACCTGTACAGCATCATGTTTTGATGAAAAGCAAATAGGGTGTTTACTATCCTTAGTTGATTCACCAGCTAATGCTTTGGTAGTTATTGATGACCATTTCGATTCAGTAAGACATTCAACCGCTTTTGTCCCATTAAAATAAGCAACTTGCATACCCATAAACATCCCTTTTTTAGTTGGACATTGAAAACGAAGATATTTAGCAATTGATTTTTCAATAGGTGTTAATTCAGGTGTTTCATCAATAGATCGACGACGTCGGGATTTTTTTCGATTGTCCGACATTGATTAAATTTAAATGTAAAAGATCTAAATGAAAATAGAAATGAATATAAATATATATGTATATAAATATATATATATATATAGATTACAAATGAATGTCATGAATAGAAAAGAGGTGGAGTAGTAAGTATTAGAAAAGAACAGAGGAAAGAAAAAGACGGACAGTTGAATTCATATTGAAAATCACACTTTGATGTAATTTGTTGTTCAATATGTACACACAAACTCTTTTTAATACAAAGGACGCATTTGACAGGTATTATATAATATGAATTCCCACCTCTTGAATATATCAATCAATGTGAGAAGTGGGTCCAACTATAATATGCCTTATGTTTGTTGAATAATAGTACTTGATATGTCTACATTACTACACCTTGAGTGGGTGGAGGTTGTCAAAAAGGAAAAAAGAATAGAATTATATATATTTATATGTGATGTATTAAGTAGTTAAATAATTATCTAAAATAAGATTGATTTTAGAGTTTTTCTTTTTGAGAAACATATAGATATATGTCGATATTAACGCAATAAATATAAACGAAACGTGGGTGTAGCTCGTGCTTTGCATTTGTAAATGACTCAGATTGAAGCGTTGGACGAACAGGAGATGAGTTGAATGTGGACTAGTGTATACATGTGGCACCATCTTAAGTAGCCAATATCAATAAAAAAAGATTGAAATTTAGTGAGTTTTTTCTTAGACTTTATATTATTAATGATAATTAATTCGAAAATTTTAAAGCAAAGGATAATATAAAGCCCTCTCTATTGAGATTTGATCTGAATGGATTTTACATTTGACCATTGATAAGATTTTCTTCTTTTTTTTTTATTTTTTATGTCTAGTGAAATAGATACAAAAAAACTAAGCTTTTTAATTTTATCCCAATGAAAAAACTCACTAAATTTCAATCTTTTTTTCTTGATATTGGCTACNATGTCACAAAACTTTTGATACACCTGGTAATTATTCATTTTAGAAACCCTCCATGTTTTTCCTGTGTCAGTCTTATTTTTCCTTCTGAATGAACAAGTCATATATCATTCAAAAGAGCTCATTTCACTCTATCAGAAGACATGTTAATTCAATTTCTATTATTCATCCTCGCTGCACAATAGCCTCGGACATTTGTACGGATACTTTTGCATCGCGGGTTAGTACAAAACGCTCGAATCATTAATACATTTCTTCAATATAGATCGCTTGTGAATCTTTGAAAACTATTGCAAGAATGAGAACGAATGTGTTACACTGTTTCATAAGTCATCCTATTATTGAAATTGGCTTTCTTTTCTCAAGATTATTTGAGAACAAGTGTTTATGAACTAACAAAGATAGATTTCAATGATCTGAAGTGTGTAATAACGATTGAAATTCGAATAAATATAGAAAAAAAAAACGCTGTATCCTATTTTTGGCATTGAAAAAAGCTTAATTTTTCAATTGTAACCAAACGTGCTACTTTCTCAACAGTGTAATGAACTAAGTCTTGAAGAAAAAAAGTTTGCTAGTCTCCTCTTTCAAATAAAAAGAAAGATTTGAAGTAAGCTTGATTAGTAGTGCAGTTCTATGGATTTATTAAGTGATCATGATTTTTGGGATATCCTGCATGATCTGTATACAATTGTTTACGGTGACCTGTGACGGATTAACGAGTCGTATGCTTCCGTAAATACATGGTCAATAATACAGCCGTATGTATAATAGAATACGTCATCATTACGTCATCTTTACGGCGTAATACTGGACGTATTGCAATGACTCAATAGGGCGTAAAAACGCCTGTTTACAGTAACGTTACGCTGGTCCGTAATGATTGGTATGATTAGTGTATGCAAGAAAAAAAATAATCGTTTTTATCTTGAAACAAATATTCAACATACCATTTGAAGTGTCCATGATGACATAACTTCATTAACTGGTTTATTTGAAGCTTTAGCCAAATGTGACCAAAGATTTTCTGTAATTGTATTTTTATAAGTATATTCCGTTAAATAATTATGAAGTCCTTTGCGGAAAGCATCATCACCAATGTAATCATGTAACATACGAATAACTGATGAACCTTTTGAATATGATATAGCATCAAATATTTCATCGATTTCAGCCGGATGACCTTTATATTGAAGTTTTTAAAAAAATTAATATGAAATATCAATAAAAATCAACTTACCAATAGGCACTTCAATAGGATGCGATGATTTTAAGGCATCTGGTATAAGAAATCTTGCAAATGTATCGGCAACAAATTGTGTCCAAATATCAAATTCTGGATAACATTTATCAACAGCTAAATATTCAATCCATGTTGCAAATCCTTCATTAAGCCATAAATCAGTCCACCAATCCATAGTTACTAAATTACCAAACCATTGATGTGCAAGTTCATGAGCAACAACAATAGCAACACGTTGTCGTGTATCCATGGATGAAAATTTCGGATCAATTAAAAGTGCTGTTTCACGATAAGTTATTAACTAAATATAAAAAAATAACAACGAACTATAATCATAATTATAAGAAGTTACATGATCAACTTACACCCCAATTTTCCATTGCTCTATAACAGAAAAATAGTAATCAATTAAAATCTTTCTTCTTTTTTTCTTCTATTCAATTGATTTCTTACCCCATTGCAAAATCTGAAATAGCGATTTGATCAGCTTTAGCAATTGGATATTTGACATCAAAATAATCAGCATAAAATGGAAGAACTTTTGCTGCAGTCTAGAAACATTTTATTTACTAATCTCTTATTTTCTTTCTTTTTTATTTATAATCTTACATCTAATGCAAATTGTCCATGTTCTTTTTTTCCAACTGATGTATAAACTCTCATACTAACACCATTTGAATCTTTTGTTTCAACATAATCATATTCACCAACAACATACGCCACAAGATATGTACTCATTATTGGTGTACGATCAAATTTTGTTATTTTCCATTCTTTATCATCGGCATATTCATTTTCGGATTTAATCGGCTAGTAAAGTGAAAAGAACAAACAATATAAGATTTAATAAATAAAATTAATATCAAAAATTCAATATCATTTTTAATCTTTATTAATTTTCTATGAATCGAAGAATGTCATGCAACATATACCCTAGCGGTAATCTATTTTGTCCTAAACATGCAGAATCTGAAGGATAATATTTGAGTCCTGCAAGACATTCAAGCAATCTAATTAATTCATGATGCAATAAATTTCTGATCTCGTAGTAAAACTTGTCGTGCTATTTCATTCTTATCAATAACAGTTAAAAGAGTACATACTATACCAGCGATTAATGCTTTGGTAAAAAGATTATTGAACTCAACTGACTTAATATTTACTCAAAGACAAACATGTTTATCACAAAGTCAAGTTCATCAATGCATTCTTATAAGAAATTCAAGAAAAAACAGTAAAAAGAAACCTATCCTTTCTCATTATCTGTCTGTTTATATTGATTACATTTTGAACGATGTATCTTGATGTTTGTTTGGCTCATTCTATAGATGTCAAATATCGTTTTTTATTTCTCATTTTATTTCTACTGAAAAACATATGATAAAATTTATTAACATGATTTGTGTATCAATAAAAGGTCTATAATATTTAACATTGCACCTCATATACAGATAAGTTTTATATCACTGCCAAAAAAAAAAAACAATGAAAAGATAGTTCTACAGGTTGATCCCGTGTTCTGTTGGAACAAAATTTTTCATACCTTTCCCTGTATGCTACAAAACAGATGATTGAAAACAGAGCCGGACGAAAAAAAAAACAATTCTATGACGTTCTTTATTACGAATTACTAACCATATTTGAAATAGCACGAAGATTTTTCGGTGTAATTAAAGTAATATCAAATGTAGCTTTAAAATTTGGCTCATCCCAACATGGAAATGCTCGTCGACAATCAGCAGGCTAAAAATAATATATCAAATGAAGAAACAATAAAATAATTCGTTTTTACTTCAAATTGTGTACTAGCTCCATAACGAACTTCACTACCATCGGGTGTTGTATATTTATTTCGATAGAAACCACGCATACGATTATTTATTTCGCCAACAAATTTTAATGCTAATTCATAATCACCTGTCTATAAAGAATATTACAATATATCTATTTAAAACTAATTATTTACTTCAAGTTTCTTATCGAAATTGACTGTAATACGTTCACCTTCTTTATCATATTCAATTTTACCTTCTTGTTCATCTATAGAAAACAAGACAACAACAAAAAATCTTTAATATAAAAACATAAAATAATATTATTACCTTTTGAAGTTGATTTTACTTTAGCATTATCAACTTCTAGCTCAGCTGCATAAAGTACAATACTACTTGTCGGTTCTTGAACCTAATCAAAGAGAGAAAAAAATTATTTTAAACAAAAATAAAACTTTGAAACACACTTTTAAATGTATATTAACATCTCCATTAAATTTAAATTTATCAAGATTTGGTTGAATTGTTAGATCATAATGTGTTGGTACAATAGATTTTGGTAAACGTTGAAATAATGGTTTTGCGTCTTCAGTATTATGACCAGTCATATTTAATCTAGAATTGAAAGAATTTTTAAAACAAGTAAATGAAAATGAATCATTAATAAAAGAAATTTTATTATTATCTTGAAGTTTAAGTTCTTAAAAAGACAACCTACATGATTTGAGTACTTTGAAAACGTTTTGTTTTGTTGTTAAGAAGAAAAGAAGAAGAAGAAACGGATGGAATAAATGATAAATCGACGAAATTTATGCTTATAACACGATATAGTACTTGAGTGCGTTTGATAAATGTATTCATTCACAAGAAAGAATTGAAATCGTGTTAAATCCACGAACTACTTTCCTTTAAAAAAACGAAAAAAGATTTATTTTTCTATGGAGGAAAAGCAACAATAAATAAAAGTTTATTTGTTTAATATTAACAAATAAAAAATAATATAAGATGATAATAAAAAAAAACAAGCTGATTTCTAATTATCATTGATAAAGATTATTAAAGTTTTATGTTTCTTTTTTTTGTTTTGTCAAAATAGATGGTGCAATAAGCTGGTTTGATAATCAAACAAGAAGACAAGATTTTTCTTTTTATTTCATTATTTTATTTTTAATAAAGAAAATTATTTAAAAATTTTTTTCTTTTTCAAAGTTAGGAAATAAAATTGCTTAGCAACATTATCGTATGAAATCGATTAATGGCTTTACAATTTAATCGGATTAGAATTAACATAAGTAGAACAACAAAAATTCATGTGACATAATATTTGAAAATATATTGACTTTGAGATTTTTCAGAAACGAATTTTCAACAGATAAAAAAAAATGTCGTCGGAAAATAATGATGAACCGAGCCCATCACCGACAAAAAAAACCAATAATAATAATACCAATAATTCAGGTTTAATGTTCTTTTTAAGTTTTCTTCTTTTATATTAGGCGAAAGGTTTTTGTAAATAGATAGTGAATCCGATGTTAATAATGAACATTTAATTGGAAATGTACAACGAGTAGCAATTGTTCCACCGAATTATGAAGGAAAACCGAAGAAAGGTCATTTAATTTTTGATGCGTCATTTGAATGTGGTATGTTTTATATAAATACTTTTTTTTTCTTTTATAAATCGCACGAAATAAACGTTATTGATAGGTAATTTGGGTCGAATCGATTATGTAAATGATTATGAATATGATTTATTTATTCGACCTGATACATGTTGTCCTCGTTTTCGATGTTGGTTTTTATTTACTGTTGAAAATGTCAAAGCTGATCAAGTTAGTATCTGTAAGATAAATTAAATAGTAATTATAGATTTAAATTTTTATTAAAAAATTCGAATTGATTATCATTTGATGACAACACTGTTTATTTTTTAAGAACGTCTTTTTTAAATTGACAGTTTTGATTTTTCAATTCTGTGAAGTAGTTGTAAATCAAACGAACATATTCTTTTCTTTCTTTATTTCAAACATGAATTTATATATTTTTCATCTTATTTTATAGAGGGTTATCTTTCATATTGTTAACTTTTCCAAAGCTAAATCTTTATATCGTGATGGTATGACACCATTAGTTAAGTCGACTAGTCGTAAACGATGGTAAATAAAATGCTTTTAAATTTAAGAAAAATAATCATTATTTTATATTTATAGGCAACGTTTACCAACAAGAAATGTATTCTATTATCGTTCTCCTGATCATAGAAAAAATTATGTTATGTCATTTACATTCTGTTTTGATCGTGAAGATGATGTTTATCAATTTGCATATTCATTTCCATATACATATACAAAACTTCAAAATTATCTTGAAAGTATTGATCAACGTCAATTCGATTATTTTCAACGTCGACCATTAGTTTATAGTGTGGTAAATTTTTTCTTGTTATTTTTAAAATACTTATCAATTCAGTCTCATTTAATATCGAATTATACAACTCGTAAAATCTAATAACTGTAAAAATCTCAGATAAGTTTTGTTTTTCCTTTGATTAGCATTGAAGACTTGACTTGTAAACCAGAGTTATAACTGATTCGAATTTATTGAAATAGTGATTATGTTCATCTCAAAATAATTAAATATAATTGAGCTAAAATGTTCATCCAATGTTTTATTATTATGTAGTTAGACATGACAAGACTTAAGTTTGGACCATTATTTGACGAGAAACATTAGACTTTTTGTTTTGTAAAATCTGAATAGAAAAATTAAAGATTTGGATTTGATAATTAAGTGTTGCGTAAATGGATTGTTTCTTTGTGCGTTAGAGAAACGTCACGTGTTCATGTTAGCAAAATTCTACAAATATAAATGAGTGTAACATAATATTTCTTCTTGATGATATCTAAGAACCAGAATTTTAAAAAAAGTGTTTCTTGAAGTTACTCTTTTTAATCGATTTAACAATTATCTAGCAGACCAATTGATTTTTACCAATCTAAAGTATTTTTTTGAACCGATCACTTATGAAATTCTCAACCAGTTATAACTCCATTTTGATTATAAGTATTAGCAAAATAGAAGAAGACAAGCCGACAAACTGCAACTTAAAACACTTATTCACTGTTATTTAGTCTAAAAATATACATGTATGAGTTCTACAAACAAATAAAATAAACACATTTATTCTCGGTTTTTTTTTTTTTTTTAATATTTTCATCATAGCAAAAACGTCGACTTGACCTATTAACTGTTGCTAATCCAGCATTATTAGCCAAAGGTCGACGAAAAAAAGTTGTAATTGTTACAGCACGTGTACATCCCGGTGAAACACCATCATCATATGTTTGTCAAGGTTTTATTGAATTTATAATAAGTGATCATCCAATTGCACAATTACTTCGTGATAATATTGTGTTTTATATTGTTCCTATGCTTAATCCTGATGGAGTTTTTCTTGGTAATCAAAGGTAGGTTATCTTTGTTTTATTTTTTTTATGTATTAAAAATTAATATTTAATAATCTTTAATTAGATGTTCATTACTTGGTTTTGATCTTAATCGTGTTTGGCATGATCCATCGATTTGGGCACATCCAGAAATCTATGGCATAAAAACACATATTATGAAATTAAATGAAGATATGGTTTGTTAATATTCTTGTTTTATGTTTTTGTTTTTTCGTGACAAAATAAAAATCTATTTAGAAATGTTTCTTTTTTTTTTTCGTTTTTTAAGGATTTTGAACTTGATTTTTTTATTGATATTCATGCACATTCAACAATGATGAATGGTTTTATGTATGGAAATGTTTATGAAGATGCTAATCGTTTTGAAAAACATAGCTTTTTTCCACGTTTATTATCTCGTAATGCAGAAGATTTTTCAATTACTAGTACAACATTTAATCGTGATGCATTAAAATTTGGAACAGGACGACGGTAAATTAATTGTAATTCATATGAATATTTCACTTTTTATTTATCTTATTTTTTTTTTCTTTTAAAGAACACTTGGTGGTTGTTTACAAGACAGTACACATTGTTATACATTAGAAGTTTCGTTTTTTTCATATCAAACATCAACTACTTCTCAAGCGGTACCTTATACAGAAGAATTATGTAAGTTACTAAATCTAGTTGATTTTTTCTTTCTTGTAAAACTATTTATTTTTCATTTATATTTAATAGTGTAAAGATTGACTTTTTATTTCTGTTAAGAGAACTCATAAATTTAGATATAAATAGCAATATTACATTATAAAAGGGTATAAAATAAGTTTTGTTTTTCTCAAGCAATCTACTTTTCTTATATATATTGTTCTATTGTTCAAATTTGATATGCACAATGTATGATCTGGATATACTTTATATGAGAGTTTCAGCTTACTATTTATTATTCTTAAAATACAGACGATTTAGAATTTGAACAAGAAATTTGTTTAGGATTATTTGTCATCGTTGGAAAGAGCTCGTCAAGTTACCTATAGAAATTTTTTTTTGACATATTCAAACAATATTTTTTTAGTCAAACGTTGGAAAATTAGACTTAAAAAAAAAAACAGAAAAATCTATAAAAGTTGAAATACGTCAAAAGCATCAAGTTTCGGTAGTCTGGATATTTATTCGAAATGTTTTTTTGAAAAATATTGTTTGACTGTGAAGAAAATCGATTTTTTCGATATGATAGCAAAAAACAACAATAATTATGGTTTTTTATTCTAAGATTTTGATCATTAGAACTTCACTTCCAAAAGAAATGAATATCATATTCGAAATTAGGACAAAAGTCTTCATCGAATAATATATTCAATAATCATAATTAATTTTCGTCAAATTTCGATGTTAGAGGAAGCACAAATCNGGTGAGTGTCTGTGTGAAAAAGTGCAGATGGGGATATGAGATAGATGAAGAGAGAATGAGGGTCACCGTGTTATTTGTTAATGCATCAGCCAGATGTTGTGCTCCTTTGTCTCCGATTTGATTGCCAGAGAGATGTAGTGTGGTGAGTGTCTGTGTGAAAAAGTGCAGATGGGGATATGAGATAGATGAAGAGAGAATGAGGGTCACCGTGTTATTTGTTAATGCATCAGCCAGATGTTGTGCTCCTTTGTCTCCGATTTGATTGAAAGATAGACCTAGTGCAATGGGATTTTTGGTGGAGAAGGCTTGATTTGAATCTTTTGGGCTTTTTCGTGAGAGGGATTTGCTTTAGTATGTGACCGTATCGCACTTCGCGTATCTGACGGGGTGGTAGTAATATGATTGGTGTACTGATGTGGAGGTGGAGGGGTGGTAATGTATTGAGCTAACGAAACTGTAAGCAATGGGATCTTTTGAGTGAATCGGGCTGGTTGGAATCTCAGATTGTGTTCAGCTGAACATGGGAGAAGGTTATGTGGCGGGAGAGATCCGAAAATGGAGTAATTAGATGGATTGTCTTTTGGTTCTTTCGGTGGTTTGTGTTACTGTTGAAATGAAGAATTTTTAGTGAAAGCGAAATCATGGCGAATGTCGAGATGTGAAGAAGGGTGTCGAATGGAAGGTAGATATTCTATGGTTGTTTGATGGAATGCCATTATTGTTGTCTTAGTTGTGAAAGATGACGAGATGTAGCGCAGTCTTGCTATGGGTAGTCAGTGTTGGTGGTTCGATGAGAAAAACGTTTATTGTTCATTTGGAGAAGTCGTAATGCCGTGCACGAAGTTGTTCGGATTTCTCTGTTACGGACATGCCATGGAACGAGACTTAAAATTTATCCGTTCGAAGGTTAATCGATAGAAGCAAAAGTGTTGTTCAACTGAGATCGTTGGGCGTTTTCAGATTGTTCCGTGAGGACACATTTATGTCATCCTCTTCTGCCTCGCCTGATTATTGAGAAGTTCATGAGTCTGAAGAAAAATGTTCCACTAAAGAATGACTTGAAACAACGCTGATTTGAAAAGGTATTTAATCACTTGAAATTAAATGCTTATTATGATGAAAGAATAGAATACTACTACAGCGATTGTATGTGTTGGTTATATTAATAGCATTCCATGGATCAAAAAGAAAAATGGCTTGTTATTGTCTTGAGTTGGCTTCGAATGAGGCAGATGAATATAATTAGGCGCAGGTTTTAGCTCATGAAAAATTTGGAACACATTAGTGTTCTGACAAAGGTCGTTATTGTTTTTGTGTATAAGTTTATAACAATCTCGATATGGGTTGTCATTGAATAGGTAGCTATCATAGGTCCAACCAGGCTGCGTTTTTGTAGGCCTCGCCGGCCTGTGACAGGCCTCTGCATTTCAAGCCTGCCTGTGCCTGCCAACTTATTTGTTTGGCCTGGCCTGCCTGGAAAGGCCTGTCTATTTTTCTTTTATGTCAATATCATTACGATGATAGAATAGAAACAGTTAGTTAATGTTGAGAATGAAGGAAATCACTTTAATTAATTTAAAATGACTAGATTAATCTTTTATTTATCGAAGTTTTCATACAAAAAAAGAACAACAGAGAAAGTAATATTAAGAAAAAAAGTTCTGTTTTTGTTCAAGAATGTTTTGAATAGATCTCACAAAAAGAATGTCATTTAAGGGACTCCCCCCCCCCTCCTCAGGAATCGTTATTCGTGGGCCGATTTGGCAGAAGTTTTCAGGGAATATGTGTGTTGCGTTAACTTAATTTCTTGCAAATTTTTGATTCGTAAGATTTTTGTTTTAAAGAGTTATGGATAAGTTAGTCTTCAAAATGGTGGTCTTCGTAAAGTACCGATTTCTCGGACTGTCGAGTAGGTAGAGAGCTACCGCTTTTTTTTAATTAAAAGAAGAGATCTATATCTAGAAATTTATATACCGTTTTTTTCGAAATTCGATTTTGTTCAGATTTCCGAGACAATTTTCTGCAATAAGTCGGAACTCAGCGCTTTTTGACATCAGTGTTATCCAGTTATCTCGACACACCCACACCCAACTTGTTTCTTCTTCAATGTAGCAGTCATCATATCTGAATTATAACTCAAGCACGCACACTCATGCACCATAGAACTCCTGAATTAGTCTCTGGAAATGATGTAAAAAACTTGATTCAACACACAAGCACATTTTCGTGCTAGAACACCGAACTATCGAATTTTGTTTAGTTTATTTATCTCTAAATCTTGCTCAGCGTGGTCTCAGGAGTCGAATGATATATAACAAGACTACTTTTGGCCAAAAGTCGCTCGAAAATCAGTGAAAGAAATCTGGAGCTACACTTTCATGTATAATGTGAATTTTTTCTAAAGTTTAAAGGCTGTATAGATGAAACTTTGCCTACCTAGAGAACGTTTTGTATAGTATCTTGGGTGAAAGTTTGAGCGAAATTGAATAAGTACATTAGAAGTTATTAACAAAACAATTTTGAAAATCTGGAGCTACAAAGTGAGTGAAAAAAGGTTTTTTTATATCCTAAAAAAAAGACATTCTTTTCCAACGCTTTGGTCTGTTTCTAAACTGCTTTTTTATGCTCTGCCTTTTGGCAGGTTCACTTTTTCCAAAAACAGTTTCCTTAATTTGACAGAACCAATTTTCATCTGGAGCTACATTTGTGTGTAAAAGTATTACCTTACTAAACGATCACAAAGAGAAAATAAAGTAAATGCATGAATCATATTGTTAGATAGCCTCGAGGAATCAGTTTCTTTTTGGATGAGTCATCGAAGAATATCTTTTTATACTTTCAATGCGAATATCTCGACAGAGGGATAAGCTAGAGACTTAAAATTTATATGACAGTACAGGCATGGATTAAACAACAAAACAAAATAAACATGTTGAAAATCGGTTCTCAAGAACCAGAGTCGTGATAAAAACACTTTAATATCCCAATCATACAATAAAGTTGCACCTGACTCATATCAATTAATTTTGTCACATCTCAAGGTTTATGAAACAGCCTATGTTGTCTGTTATGAGTTCTGTGAAGCTAAACTATCATGTTTTTTTTGTCGCGAGAAATGTCTATACTTATGAAAATGAATATTTTTGTGTTGCTTGTTCATTTCGAATCCTTATTTTATGTTGTGTTTCGTATGAAATGCTGAAATTAAACAGTTTAGAATGTTAGATAAGTTGTTCTAAATATTTCGTATGTCGGTTGCTATGGTTTTTCTTATGTTATTGCGTAAGTTTTTCAATAATATGTAAATTGTTAAGTGATCCTGTATATGATTGTGAAACGTCGTAATTGAAATGATTATCACAAATCTTATTATTTAATGGCGTTCTTATCTTTTTTTTCCTTATTTGAGAAAGTTCGGATGATGGACTTCCTGATGTATTCTGTCCGTTTTTCTTCTTTTTCCTATTTGTCCTTGTTTCTTTTCCCTCTTTCATCTATATTATTTAGCTACTCAGGAGTGCTTCTAATCTGAGTGGGAGGTTGTGCCGATATTGATATCACATCCCACTGATCTTTTTTCCCTTTTTCTCTTTATCTTGTCATTATTATTCTTTCTTGTGCGCATTTTTCTCCCAATCTCTTGCTCTCTCTTATATAAGCGTTTGTCGCATGTTAAGTAGTCACATTCTCAAGATATGAAGTAGCTCAATAAACATCATTATCAAGGCTGTCGGTAAGCTATTCCTTCAGTTTGTCATTACAGTATATAACTCAGTTATATGTTATATTTCTTTTCTTGGTCTTTTCTGTCAATTCTGTCATACAAATGGCAAGTACAATATGCATATGTTTTGTTTTCTTTCTCTTTTGTTTGAGTTTTTTTCAAACATTCTTGTCTTTTGATATAGATCCGATCTTTTGTATTTTTAAGCATGATTTTTTCTCTGTATATTTGATGTTTGCTAACCTGTTCACATGTATCTATAGTTTCTGTTTAGAACGTAAATTCGTTCATCATTAGGCTATGCAATTTATCATCTATTAATACCTATTATTGGTAATTTCAAAAGGTACATTTAGCTTAATATAAACCTTCGATTGTCAACTATAGGTTGACTTTTTTTGCTATAAGAACTTAAGAAGTACATAGGTGAATAAATTTTATTTGAAATTGGAATAAAAATCATATTGTTAGAAATTATTTATCTTCAATATTGTATTATCCGCTCCGTTTTTTTGTTGCTTGACGCTTGTTGTAAAACCATACACGAATCACATAAGAATCATGACCTAATTGTTCGGATAAAATAGCAATATCTTGTTCTAGAACAAAGAGAATTTTGTGTTTCGCTAATAGTTATCTTTAAAAAAATATAACAATATTTACGGCTTGGTTTAGGATTTTGAATAAATGCTTCTTTAAGATGTTCAATATCAGCTGCACTGAAGATAGTTCTTTTACGACGACGTCTATTACTAGTATTTAATGAATCGTCACTTATACTTCTATTATTTTTCAGATGATGAGAAAGTTGTTGCATGGATTCAGTAGCATGATGTATGGTTACTATTTCATTTAAGTCATTCGAATTTGAACTCATTTCATCAGCACTACTACTCGTCATTGATGTTGATGAATGTGTAGAAAAAGATAAAGATGAGGTTGATTTAGACATCATATGTTTTTTCGGTTGTTGTTGTCTTTGTTGAGTAATCGTAGTAGTAGTAGTTGTTGTCAATAATCTATTTAAAAGACAAGGAATTAAAAAAACTGACAGATACTTACTAGAATTTTTTACCGTTGATCACAAGGGGATGTAGAAGAGATTATTGGAACTGTTTCTGGTGTTAATGAAGTATTGTTTTTATCACGAGCAACTTGAATTGATCTATGATTGGAACTGAATTGTTTTTTTCTACAGATTTTTCTTCCATGACTTACAGATTAGGTAAAAATAAAGCAGTAATAGTACCATCAAGTTCAGTCATTGATTTTACTTCACCAATATAACAATTATCCGACAAAATATCGAATACTGATAGTGTTTGGTCATTTACGAGATTCATATTATTATTATTATTATCTGACAAAGTTTCTAATAAATAAATATAATCATGAGTAAAAGAAAAAATCATATTTCGGTATTCTAACCAGGATTAAGTTGTTTAATCGTGAACCAATCATCATCATCTAGAGTTATTTGTTCTTGATAATCATATATTGGTGACATTTTACCAAGTTTATCTAACTATAAAAAATAAGATTCTTTAACAACAGTAAGCTTATAATTATTGAATTCTCACTAAACAATTGGATTCAATATTACAAAGAAAATTAGATTGGTAGTTTTCTGGAAACATCAATTCTTCCATTGTAAAACCAAGTTTGAGCATGATTGTTGTGGTTTATGATTTAAATCGATCAAAAGAAGAATTGATTTCTAGTTTTTCATATATTAAAATGTGCAAAGAATCTCATTAGTGAATCAACATAGAACAAAACAGACAAACAAGAGAAGGATGCGAATATGTCTGCTATAAAAAATCAAAACAATATATAATGAAACATTATTTTATGATACAACTTAATTGATCAAAATGATTTTGTCGTTTCGTCGCGCGTCTATGTCTGTGTCTGATAATCAATCAATAACTGTATCACATGTTATGCGCGCCTTTTCTCTTTCGTTTGGTTAGGATTATTTATGCTTTCTCATCAACTGACTTGTATTCATTGTTGACTATCAAAATTTGAGTTCATATTCAAAGATAAAACATTTCTTATTAGAGTTCATATATGTACTTAGTAGAAAAATAAAATAATATCCTCATTAAGTTATATGCGCGAAATGTACTGGTTTTATAAATAAATAAATTGTTTATCTTATTCGTAAAGTCTCCATAAAACAAAGGATATTTAGTAAATTGACTCACACATATGACTGTCTCCAATAAAGGTATTTTTCATTGATAGTTAATAACAACATGTGGAAATAATCATGAGTTTTGTTCATTTCTTCTTTTCCATTCTTTGTACAAGTGAAATAATACGTTGAATAGTACTTGTTTTCTTTATTTTTGAATTTAATTTTTGTTTCTTATTTCACAACATGTTTTCTTTTTCTCATTTGAGAAAGAAAAAACAAATTTGCATATCATTTGAATATGTATATTTGTTTTCGAACAGCTTTTGTGTAGTTATTGATCTAGAATTATACAAGGATATACATAGTATTTTCATCTTTTGATTAATTGATTGACAGTTATTTAAAAAAAAGAAATAATGAATATTTATTTGAATATGATGGTGATTGGAGTGATTCGGCTAATACAAATTTATTGCTTACGGAAATGAAAAATTAAGTTTTATTCACCAAATAGTCAATGTGCGGTCGTGTTTCCGATCTAACTAACGATGTATTGTATGTAATCGGTCGCTTTTCCGATTTCGAATCTGAATTTTTTCTATCGTTGTCATACAGCCTCCCTTCATTTATCAAGAAAATATAGCTACTACTGTTTTGTTTATGTCTTCATTATCATTATTTTCTATAGATTATTATTTACTCCTACACTTTTCTATTATTCAATCTACATAAATACTTGAAAACACATAAAAAAAGGTTAACAATTACAGGTGAACATACAAGTCTATTTCTTTCATAACTATCAATTATATTTTATTCGATTATTGTCCCTTATACTTAACTGCACATTTAAGAAATAATTAATTGAATTATCTAATCAATAATGTGTATTTCATCATCATCAACAATTATCAATAGTTGCAATTACTTTTTAATGGCACTATTCATTACAACGACTGTAAGAAAAATATATATATTTGAATCTATTTGTTTTTTTATAAATTAAAATATTTTTCTTCTAGTGTAGCTATGTTATAGAACCGGATAACTTAAGAAATAGACTTACTAATCAACAATTTGGATTGAATAGACCCTCGTATTATGATCGTGTTTTTCGTTCAACAAAATTTCCACGTATTGGTCGTGCAACATCTGATATGGAAGATATGTCTTCTATTATTGATACAAATACAAATATTAACGATAATGAAGAAAATAATAATGATACTGAATTACGATGGACTCAACAACGCAGTGTTTTTTTCCCACGTATTGGTAAACGTGCATATCATAATTTAATTCGAGCACATAGTTTATCAAATCCACATCATATATTAGATGCACAAGGTCGATATCATACCAACAATGGTTATAATTATCATAATCATCAAAATCAACCAACATCAATAATACATTATCAAGGCAAATAAAATATATTTCAATGCAACTACACAACATGTTTTTATTAGGACCGAAAAAAAAACATAAACACATGCACAAACAGTAGATTCTTCTAATAAACAACAATATTCAAATTAATTTTTCTCTTTATGTTGTATTTTATTGTAATCAAAGAAAAAAAAAAGGAACAAAACAGAAAAAAAAAACATAATTAAGGAGAATTCATTCCAGTAACAAGTGGTACACTATGTTCTTCAATTTGTAATTCTTCATAGAATGCTTTGTCTTCTGTATTTTGAATCATTGTTCTTAATCGATCATTTTTAATATGTATACTAACAATAATCCATCCAACAAGAATAAATGCTGCTCGAACTGCTGTTAAATTTTTCCATGTACTACTTCGATTATTTACTACTTCCTATTAAGAACAAAAGAAACCTTTACAGAAATCAATAATGAAATAAAACTTACGCGAATCAAATCTGCTTGATATGTAGAATTTGGTGAAATGTTACGTAACTGATCTTCTGTTTGCATCATAACTAAATTAACAATCATAGCAATACCATAGAAGATAAAAGCTACTGCACTATTTTGTGCAGTAATCGATTGTAAAAGTACTTCTTTATTGAATTTGACAGGATCAATTCTAAAGCAAAACAAAAAAGTGAAATATAAGGTGGACCATAAATAACAATTGAAATATCTCTGCTTCGGTTCGTTCGAATGGACAGATTTTTTGATTAGTGGTGAAAGTATTTTATGTCATACTGATAACGTAAACAAATACTACTATCAAATTATACTTTTGGTCTCAGTGAAAAAATTTCACCGATTATCAAATAAAAAAAAATACGTATGAAGATTATCATAGATAGTTTTCAATTGTTATCTAAGAAAATAATAAGAAGTCAAAAGAAACTTAATGAATCATACTAAATTAATGCACAACGTTCTAGTTTTCAAAACCAGTCAGTGTCACAGTTGAAATCCTTGTCCCATAACTAAAACGCATCATTAAAGCCATTTAAAAACATCAACTTCCTTGCAAAAATCAGGATTACACGTTCGAAAATTTTTCTTCACAAGCATCAATCTAGTATAATTAAAAAAGCTCTTTTGGATTTCTTATTATTATTCTTTTAGATAAAAACTGAAGACTATCAATGAAACACTTTATATGTATTTTTTTTTACTTGGATAACGGGTAAAATTGTTTTTACGACACCAACGATAATGCTTAATAGTAGTTAGTATTTGCTTACCTTATCAGTATAACAAAAAACTTTCAATATACATACTTCCACGGCAAATCAGTTCATTTTATTGAACCAACATGAAGATATTTCATTTTTTTGTCGAAATGCGACTTATGGTACGCCCTGTATACAGTGGTCGCAAAAAATTCCACTATCAAGTAAAAACGGTACCTAAATTTTAATTTTTTAGTTTCATACTTCGACCGTAAATAGAGACTATTTAGCTTGGAGCACAAAAACTAATCAAGACTTGATTGATCTTCAAACAGGCACGTTAAAAGGTCAAAATAGATTTTCTCTTCAGATGAGAACATCTCAGTGCTTTGCCTAATACCACTAAAAATTCCATGTCAACAAGATTTAGTTTATGTAATTGATGAAGTATTCTTTGGGTGATCTCTATATGAGAGTTGATGGGAATCGTCAAAATGTGAACTAATATCTCTGATGGTTAATTTTAATCGTTTACTTTGAAAAATTCATGATTAGCATTCATCAATGAAGGAAAGATTCATGATAAGACCGTGTCAGACAATGAAGATTTGACTATACTTCAAGGTTACAGTGGATTGGAGTAATCTACCTGTTACACAATATAGACATGCGAACCTTCTCTTTTTTAAATTAGAAAAATGGAGGTTAACGCATTTAAATCGAAGAAAATCAGAAAAGTCTTTTTTTTTGGACCTTAAGGAAAGAACCAGTTTTCATCGTACATTCTTTGCATTAATACCTATCGACGGCGCAATGCTGTTTGCGTTTAGATTTTATCAAGTTCAATTTGTAGTCAAAATATCAGGCAAATGACCTCTTTTTACTCGGAAGCAGAACTTCTTACGATTACTATATGCATTAACAGTTAAAAACGAAAAACAAACAAAGTTTAAAATCTTAATTACCGGTCTAAAACATCAACCATACATATAGCAAGAAAAAGATAAAATAGAAGATGTGTAATTAATGCAATTGATTGATAAGCATTAAAAAAATTGAATGCGTCTATTTGTGTAAATACAAATGCAATTACACATATCCATAAAGCATAACCAGCATTAATTCCATGTATAAAAAGAAAAAATTTTTGAAAAGCTGCATGAGTTTGTTTAGCAACTTGAACTGTATAACGTTTTAAAACTTCTGCTGTTTGTTGTTGAAATGTATAATTATTAGCATATCCCAACTGAAATGGTGATTGTCCTGCTTTATTACCTATACGTGCTTCTGCAGTTTCTTTATTTACACTTGAAAATTTTTCTTAAAAATAATAATTAATTATATTTTAATAATTATAAAAGAATATAATACTTCTATTTTCAAAATAAACGCGAGGTGTTGGAGCACTTTTTGATGGTGCACCATCAGCATGTGAACTTGATATTAATAGATCAGGCAAAACTGCTTCATCAGATCTTTTAGATCTTTCAATAATAATTTCATCTTCGAAACCATGTAAAAGTGAAGGTTCTTGTCGTAATTGTGATCTATAAGTAATTATTAAAAAGTAAATAAATTGAAAAGTAAATATAACTTACGATGATCTGACACGTCGTCGAGCTTTTCGACGTTTAGTTGTTTGAGGTTCCTCTGTTTGTTTTGATCGAGGTGGTAAAGAAAGCTAAAATTTGAAAAAAAAAATATTATTAAGAAATAATTCCAATCGATAAAAAGAAACAAGAAGAATTAAATTACTTCTTTAGCTGCTGGTGGTGAAACTATTTCTCTTCCATTTGGTGTTCGTTGACGAATTAATCGTTGTTGAGCTCGTCTTCGTTGACGAGCACTGTCTTCACTAGTTGCTGTACGAGGTGTTTCATCACTACTTCCGCCAACTGGTTCAGCTGCAGTTAATTTTGGTAAACGTCGTCTTTGATTTCCTCCTTGGCCTGTACCAGTAGTTGCCATCGATTGATTATGATGACATATAGTCGTATTATTCGTTGTCATAGAAACACATATATATATACAACAGCGGCCTCTGATATTTATTTTCTGATTGGATGATTGAAATCAAATAACAAGTCATCGCCGATACATTTCGTTTTTTTTTTTCTTTTATTTGCGTAGTTGAAAGTTGTGCTGAATAGAGGAAATTGAAGGCTTTCATTGGCGAAGATATTTCATGAATGAGTGGGTACATTTAAATAGTATTTCTGATAGATAAAACGTGTACCAGGCAGAATTACCATAAGTAAAACACCTGCTTCGTGTAGAATACACTCTGTTTTCCACGTTTCTCAGAAAACAAAACAGAATGTAGTATGTTGCCTAGTCGAATTTTCTTTTTTATGAACATGAAATTCTTGAGCAAAAGATGTCAGGTGATACAAATGCTTCTTGAGATATGCGTATGAGAAAAAAAAATCTACGCAAAAAAAAGTGCACTCGTAAGATTCAATCACTTTCATGATCGAAATCTTTTCTTACAAATAAAAGTTCAACTTAGGAAAATGTATTTATTGATTTTAGTCACTGTTTCAGTAGAATTTATTTTTCTCATGCGCATGAAATTCTTGAGTAAGAAAATCATACGAGATAGACATATTTTGACATCTACCCCTGTCAAACATATGACAAAAAATAACTTTGATTAGATTACATAAACTAATGTTTATCAGAATTGGAATCGATTCGATTAGAAAGTTTTTAAAACCTAAGTTGATTAGATTCTAAACAATCAGGAACCGATCCCATATCCAGTGTTTATTTTATTTTTATAAATAAGACAGATTATAAAATTCACACGTATATTTACTGCTTAATAGTTTGCTAAGTATCTTTTTTTAATTTTCCATTGAAGAAACTATGTATAAACATAACCATTGCTTGTATAAGTATAGTGTACGGAAACATGTTGTTTTAGATTTCCATTGGAAATAGTGCATTATAAAAAAAAGTAGTAAATAAAATTTTTGTTCGTTTTTAAAGATGAAAGGTCAATCATCTAGTATATTTAACGAAATGTTTTAAACTTTTCGAATAAATCTTTAAATTTTTTTGCAAGGACTCTTTTTCTTTCTAAATGTTTGATTTACCATTTTTATCGACAATTGGTCTTTTTTTTTTCTTTAAATATTCACAGTTTACATAAGTACAAAACAAAAATGAATATACTTATCAATTGTTTTTCTTTATTTTTTATTCTAGGCAAATAATTATGTCAGGAAGTATTATTCATGAAAAGCTGGCATCACTTGGACCTGCTCGTCAAGATAGTGTAAACAGTTAGTAAAAAATAAAATTGATAAAATATTTTTGAATTTATAATTATTTCTTTTTATTAAGATGATTATTCACCATTGAAATTATTTACTGCTGCTAAAACAACAATAACTGAAATATTTAAAAATATTGCATTATATGTTAATGATTCAAATAAATTTTTAGATGGTTAGTATACTTTGTTTGTTTTTATTTTATTTATAAAAAAAAAAAATTTTTTTGTATTTTAATAGAAGTGAGCAAATCCGATCGAAATTTAATAAACGATGATAAACATAAAGATATTCAACAATTAAAAGACAAAGTTACTCGCATCTTATCTGTTATATCACGCGATCATATGAAAGTTGTCTTTTTCGGAAGGTTAATTAATTCAAATTCTTTCTTTTTTCTTTTTAATTTCGTTAAATTTTATTGTTTAGAACAAGTAATGGAAAAAGCACAACTGTCAATGCTATGTTACGCGAAAGAATATTACCAGTCGGCATGGGCCATACAACAAATTGTTTTCTTCAAGTAAAATGAAATATTTTAAAGTTTTTTTCTTC